ATATTAGTAGCTTTTTTAAATGGCAAAATGAAGTACTGCAGCATTTGGAAATATAAAAATAAGACTGCCCTTCAAACCTTAAAATTTTAAGTTAACAACAAATCAAAGCAGAAATAAAGTTGCCTCCCCGCCAGGGGTCTCCAGGCCTGCAAGACTTGACTAGTTTCAATGGCTATATAATACACAGCTTCAAACAAATTTCTAGTTTTGGGGTATATGGCAAAAATTTTTAAAGTTCTATTTAATGACCAACTTTTGTATTTATTCCTTCGAGAATCACAGGTTTCTAGATCTACTCAACATCTCATTTTTCCACAAACTAGTAAAATTTCTAATCAGTATCAGAGAAGCATAAACAACACTAGAACAATTGTTTTGGAGAGGAATGATTCTCAAAGAGTCCCCTCTTGCCCTTCCTTTAAAAAAGAAAAGTTGGAAGAATTTGTTCATTTAACTTCCACAATTCTAGGAAATGTTATCTAGTACTCTGATAGACTTGGGTTCCCCAATCCAGTAATCTGTAACTTAGGAAGTGTCACCACCATCTAACCAGTTGCCCCAAACAGAAATGTGATCGGTATACTAAATTTTCACTTTAATTTCATCCCACTTAAAGACCTTTTCAAATTCCTCCTTCCTGATTTGTTTCAAATTTTCCTTAATACTTCACCCCATTCCTAACTCCCACCTAAGGGCCACACAGCTAAATACGGCAGAATTGGGATTTGATTAAATTTCTGCCTCTATAGGGACTCTGAGTCATCTTATGCACCTTCTTGGTTTTTAACTCCCAAAATTGTGTCTCTAGCTCAGATCTTTCTCAAAATATCCCAGAATTAGAAATCCAATCATCTGCTGGAAACTTCCACTTGAATATTCCATAGGCATCCCAATCTCAAAATGTCCCAAAATTCAATTTGTCATCTTTCCCATCCAATTTGTTACTTATCACCTATTCTCCAAATGTTGGGATTGTTAGTTTCCACAGTAGGAAATTGGATACCAATCTCTCAATATCCAACTACTCAAGTCCTTTCCATTTTGTCTAATTCTTCAGATCCTTTCTGTTTTTCATCCCAACAAATCCTCACCTAAACTACCTTTAACCACCAATATCCGAACTTCATGTGATCCAGAAAGCCTTAGATGATTTGATCATTGCCTACCTTTCCTGTTGTATTGTCTTGCACTCAGTAATTCCATCATAAAAACTGCTTGTAGTTTATTAATGCATTAGGTTGCTTCTCATCAACCTATCCTTTCTCATGTGCTCTCTATGCCTAGATAGCCACCTTTCCAATTTCAGAGGCATGTGCAGGTCCCCAATATCCACCCATGAAAGTAAAAGTAGATCTAAATACACATATTCTACTGGTTTCGAAATCTAAGAATGAGTCTATCCCCTAGTAGGGATTCTTAGGTGCAGAAATCTACCATCAGGATGCATTTCTAGTCATAAACAGTCTCCAGTGGGGCTTAAAGGCAGGAGCTAGTTGTGCACGCTGCACCAAGAAAACAAGCATCCTGGACAGTTTCTTTAAACCACAACTTCTGGTTTCTAGCTATTTTCAGTTCTTAAGTACCTGTTCTTGAGCATCCTTTCCAAAAGAGTGGCTGCCAAAATTCTGCTTGATTTAGCATCCTCCTAGGAGTCATCTGGAAGAAGTGACTTGCCGAGATAAGTCTAGGAAAAAAGGGTGAAGAAGCCATGTAGGTGACCTACAGTGATGTTACTAGGAGCAGGCAGTGAGACTACAAGGTCAATCTTATATTAAAGGAAATGTTCTGGACACATGATACATCAAAACATTGTTCACTTAGAAATCACAACTTGTCATCCGAACAAGGAAAACATAACAAAGTCCAGTATCGGGCTTCAGGATTCACAAGATATTCAGGAACCCATAGACCAATGAGTATGAAAATGGATTGTGTAATAATGCAGGTTCCAAACACTAATTTTTATGAGCTCATCGCAAGAATAGAAGCTCTCCTGAGAGCTCAAGGGAAAGACTTATCAATGTATCAAACTAATTAAGAAGAGTTTAAGGTCAAACTGAATTAAAATATAGCTCAGCTATTACCTCATCTGCCCTGGCTTCTCCATTTATTAAGATCTGTTCCCCCAGAATTTCTTCTGCTCGTTTCTCTTTCACAGTATTTTTCACACTGTATTTTAACTTATCTGCTTAATGTTCCACTATGCCAGGGGTGGGGAATGTCCAGCCCACGGGCTGTAAGTCATTGGGTCTGGCCCTGCCAAGGCAACCACAGGCAGGACCCAAAACTCAATAAATCTAGCTTTTTACTTTCTTCTTTTTTTAAATATTTATCTTTATTGTTGAAAGTATTACAAATGTCCCTTTCCCCCTCATTGATCCCCTCCCCCCTGGCCTTCACCACACGATTGTCTGTGTTCACGCGTTATGCATTATGTTTTTAGGTTAATCTCTAGGAGCTTTTTTCATAGCTAATTTTTAAGTCAATAATTTTGTATGGCCCACAAATAATGTTATAAATACCCAAATGGCCCTTTGCAGAAGAAAGGTTCCCCTCCCCTGCTCATCTTGAGGAGTAGGCATGTCTTTCCATCTTTGCATCCCTAACATACAATAGTGCTACATTTACCAACTTACTGACTAAGTCTTCTTTGTACTTGATTAAACTATCAAAAAATCTAAACCACTGCTATGCAAAGCCCATAAACCATTTGTTCATGATGAGATGAGGAGTCTGAATCAGAATATGTAAAAGAATAGCCCCTTTTTTGAGAAGTTTTGCTTTAAAAAAAATGTCTAGCTAAACTTAACTGTACTTTTGTGATGCAACTGATTAACATTTTTGCCCCACTTTGATCCAAACACTTGAGAGTTGGAATAAGACATATTTCATAAAGAAAAGTAAAATGCTGAAGAATGGATGGTTAAAATTAACTTTAGGGTCTTTATCCATCTTTATAAACACACATATATTTACAGATCCCCAAAAAGATTTAAAATAAAGGCACCAACTTTCACTGGTAATAAGACACCGGCCACTTAGGACGTTTTTTAAAAGCCAACACGCATTAAAAAAACCTAATAAATTTTTAATTTTTTCCTTTTGTAACAGGACAAATAACAGATTACATCAAACTTCAGAGCTTCTCAAATATCTAGTTATTATACACATTCCCATCTGTCTTGCAGGGAGGGATCTTGGTCGGCTTAACAGTTTCAGGTAAAATAAGCTGCATAATAGTATATATTACAATAATAAATGTACAATGTTTACATGAAATATGTCTTAGAAGCAAGATAAAGATGCATCTGCATCAAAAGGCGACCTTTTAAAATGCCACAACTATTTTTTTACATTCACTCTTGCAACAGGTCACAAGATGGGGTCACTAAGCTCAGATAAATCACTATGATGCACATAAAATGGTTATTTTATATATTATATATATTTATATTTTCACACGTTAGCATCTGAGACATAAACTGAGAATTTAAAATTTATTCTCTTCAGATAACAAATCATTTTTATTCTTCATAAACATGGTGCCCACAAAAGCACATAGGTAAGGCACAATAGGGTTTTCTGTTACAGAACAGTGTGCATCATGTTTATTTAACCAGAAAACGTGCATTATCTGTGCAAGTTCATGCTGCAAACCCAACACATATACAATAAAAACCAAAGAGGCAACTGAGCTTTAAACAAAATCAAAATTGGTACAACTTCAGCTGTTTCACATATTCATTTGGACTGACAATGATATATCAACAGGTTATTATTATTTTTTTAAAAAGCCAGTTGTTACAAGTAAACTTTGCTCCACAACTATTTTAATCTGAAATAAAAAACAGTAATAAAGTAACTTTACTGAAAAAAAGTAAATATCGAGGCACAAAGCAACGGTCACTCGTGCATTTACTATATTGCAAACTTTTCATGACCCAAAACTGTAAATATAATTTTTCAGATACACATTTTGCTGAAACAATATGCCCTGCTTTAAACTTGACATGTAACAGGGGAGCTAACATTTTATTAAATTATAAATAGATTGGGAAAATGACTTGATCCCAATGGTACTATATTGAAGCCCTAGTATTTATAATAAATACAGCTTTTCACAAAATACAGTTCCAATATCTGCCAATTGCTTCTTTATTGCTCACATAAATTTGAATCTATTACAACTGGTATCGAAACTTTCACACAAAATCATACTCAAGACATTTTTATATAAAACCTATAAAAGATATTTGAAACTTGTATCTAATACTTCCAGGTGTTTGGCTGTTTGATCTATGTGATAGTACAGCCATATGTATATATGTGTGTGTATATATGCGCACACACACACACACATATATATATATACACATACACACATATATACACATACATATATATATATACACACTTTAGATTATGAATAAAATAGGAAGCTTATTTTACTGCTTTAATGCAGACATCTTCACAAAACAAGACTACTTTCGCCACCACCAGCATTTATACATATATACAAAAGCCAGTTTAAGTACATGTACATCCACTTATACTTATATGTAACCACTAAACCCAAATTAGTTTTCCCATATTCCAGCTGTAGCAAATGAATCTCTTACAAGCAATAGAAACCTAAGGTTAAATTGGGAAATGAACAGTTTTACCACATTAGCCTGTAAGGAACTATGTAGGTTACTGTATGTATACAAGAATTCACAACATTAGTTCACAGGAAATTATGGAAATACAAGCCTCTTCACCATGCTTTTGTGTGGTTATCAAAAACACTGTTTGGTGCAAAAATACCACCACCACATCTGAAAATACAGTAATAAAGTCAATGTTCCTCATGCAAAACTGTAAATGCACTGGCTTAAATGAGCTCCAAAAACTGAATGAAACTATTATTTATCTATTCAGCATTGCTGCCCCACTGCTAAGTCCCTTTGGAACCTTGAGATTTCTGGAACGTTCAAACAGAGCTGTATTCAATAAAAATATTACATACAAAAAAGCATTTAAAAAGGAAGACAGGAAGCCAAACAGGAATTTTCCTATTGTAAATAACAGTCCTAGGGGTGGAAGAAAAAGTCTTTTCAGGAACCTCCTTGAGAATTGGCTAGGCCAGTCCGCAGACGAAGATGAGACATAGAGTTCATATGTTTATTTGATGGCTTCAAGGGAGTGTTGCAAGTAAGAGCGTGGGGAAAGCGATGGTGATATCTATCTAGTCGTAAATATTTTACTGTAACCAATTTCCCTGTTGTAAGATAAAAATAGTATTTTAGATCTGTAAAATTGTACTTAATAATTTATAAAAAACTGTGGTTAAAAACATAAAACACAAATAAAGTAATCTAAAATTATTACTCTAAAAATGCTAACTTAAATATCTTTAATTTAAAATCTGGTATAGTTTAAATTGTAAGCCATAATTTATCTCTTAAAAATGTTTATAATACTCAAATTTCTTACCATCAAACCAAGAGCCATGCAATGCCTTAAAAGCTTTCCCAGCATATTCTGGAGACAGACATTTAACATATACACAACCCTGTGATATCAAAGAAAGAACAGTCTTAGTTTAATAGCAACAAATTCAAAACGTAGAATTCAGTAGTAAAAGTTACTTTACCTCACGTGAATTTTTGTCTACTGCAATATGAACAATGCCATCATTATCATTGCATTTTTCTAAAATTGCTTCTTGAATTGCCAAATGCCACTGATCCCCTATTTCCCTAAAAATTAATGAAAACAAATATCAGCCATATTCATACTCAGTAAGAAGTCTTTTGTCTCTTAAAACATACATATCCTATTAGAATGGGGATAGTTTAAAAAACTACATATTTTTAAAGGTAGTAGTAAATAAATGCTTGATACTAGTAGTAGGTAGATTAAAAAAATACTAGCATTCAGTAGTTCAGCCCTTTTCTCACTTCCCAGTGTAAGAACGCACAGAGCTGGGACAATGAAGGATTAGCCCACCATAGCAGAACACGTGCTATCCTATATACCTACAATCATTTCTTTTTTTCTTTCTATACAAATGTTAAAAAGCACTTTAATGAGTTGGAGTGGTCTGGTAAAAGTTTAATATTTTCTTTTTAACAGCATTTTCAAATTCCTAAACTTAAGGAAAATTCTTAGTAAATATAGTAATAAGTCCTCACTTAACGTAGTCAATAGGTTCTGCAACTTTAAGTGAAATGACGTATGACAACCAATTTTACCAGAGGCTAACTGATATAAATAGGAGTTCAGTTCCTACACATTTCATCAATTTTATAACAAAATGACATTGAACAAACTGAACAAAACGATGTTATTCAAGGACCTGCTGGAGTGTATTCTGAGCTTCTCTCCTCCAAAATAATTAGAGTAATACAGGACACTTTGCAAAAATAGTTACCTCACTATTAAGAGAGCTTTAAGCTATCCTGCTGCAGTAATGCACCAATGTGTAGATCATGGGGTAGAGGGACAGGTGGCTACATTTTCAATAGTAAATCTTCATCTTAGGTAATAAGATACTGGACTGGCACTGATTTCCTAACTATTAAAGTATGAGGTAAGATTCCCAACAGAAGGATTACCACCTCGCTGTTTCTATCTCTGCAAAACAGAGGCTGTGTACATACTGACAGTGCTTCCCCACATTTCCGATTTTGTTATCACTTATTTGAAACCTCATTGTATCAACTATTTTTTTAATTGTTTTAAATCCTCACCTGAGGATATGTTTTATTGATTTTTAGAGACAGGGAGGCAGGGAGGGAGGAATATCGACTGGTTGCCTCTCTTACCCTGACCAGGGATCAAACCTGCAACCTAAGTATGTATCCCCAACCGGAAATTGAACCCACAACCTTTCATGTATGGGATGACTCTCCACCAACTGAAGTATTCAGCCAGGGCTCAACTATTTCTTGAAATAAATGAGTTATTTGATGGAACTTATGGGTATTTTATATGTAAACAATTTCCACTGTGAGGATTTTTTTAAAACACAGAATGTCTTATCATTGAACAGATAAGCAGTTGCCTCCAGGAAGCAAATTCTAAAGATTATTATAGCTTATATGTGAAATATTATAGATCCTAAGGCAATGACTTTAGACTGTACTATTCTCTGGATGCAAGTGCTACTGTAATTATATAGAAAGAAAAGTTTCCCAACTATTAAACAGACAGAAAAGTTTTTCAAATATTACATGGATAAACAGGATTGTAGAAGGGAAGGTATGTAACATCTTTGTACAAATTTTTTACCATAAGATTAGAAATTTTAAAATAGCAGATATTTTTATCTCTATTGCCTATTGAGGCAAAGAATGTTGGTAAACATGACTTATACATTTAATAAAGAGTACTGTTTATATCGTGTGTGTCATTAATTTGACTCAAGTATTTATCTGCTATGGGGATTCACAGTGAACACGAAGGTTTATAAAAGTTTTACGAATCATTATATATCTGTGTCTTTTGGCTAAACATTTTCTTGGAATATAACAAAGGAGAAGAGAAAAATATAAAATTTCTGTAGTTAGAAACTCAGAAGTAAAAGAGATTTTTCAATTACAGGTATAGCATTATAAAAATATCATTGATTTTTTTCAGCCAATTATTCCAAATAAGAATTACATATACCCCTGATCATAATACTTACATAACTGGATCAAACATATTTCGAATCTTGAGACACGGTGTCAAACTATTTGGTGGTGAATTTCTTCTATCTAAATGAAATGCTACAAAAAACAAATTAGTTTTACTATTTGCGATTATTCCATTTTATTGAAAAGGTATTCAATCATTCAATTCACTCCAAAATATTCACTATGTACTTTTACTATGAGGCGGACCCCAGGATGTTAAGGTGAGTAAGACAGTCATTGCTCTTACAGAATTTACAGTTCAGTGGGGGAGACATGAAAAATAGTAACTTTAAAAGACTTCTGAATTATGAATAATCTCATCGTATTATTCATTATTCACCTAAGAAGTCATAATTGTGGTAAATTCTAAGAAAGAACAGTACAGAAAGCTGTTTAGGTAACTTAAGCTGAAGTCTGAAAATATCACATAACACTTCACTAAGGCAGGGACATTTCTGCTGGGACCTAAAGTATAAATAAAAATAAGAAATGTGAAAAGAGGAGTAAAAGACATTTTAAGCAAAGGTGACAGCTTATATACTGCCCCTAAAGCAAGAAGGAGCATGGTCTATTCAAGTAACTGAAAGCCATGGTGGCGAGTGAGGACAAGAGAAAGATAAACCCGAAGAGAGAAATGTCACATTGTTCAGGACCATGTAGGTCACATTAAAGAATTTAGACATTACCCTAAGTGCAACAGAAAACCACTCAAACATTTTCAGGAGAGGAATGAATAATATGATGAGATTATTCATATAAAAAAGTCTTTTAAAGTTACAAATTTTAAAAATAGCCATGTGGAGAATCAATTAGGTAGAAGCAAAAGTGAACACAAAGAGACCAGTTAGAAGGTTACTATAGTTGTCTGAGAGGGAAATGATAGTAATGTGGATAAGATAGGCCAACAATGCAGATGAAAATAAGTGGATAAAATTGGAACATATTTTGGAGTGGATCTGATGTAACTCATTTAAAGACTGCAAATGGAGGGGGTAAGAGAGAAGTTATGGATGACTCCCAGGTTTATGGCAGGACCAACTAAAGATGTATCATTAACACTAAAGGAGAGGTCAGTTTGGGAAGAGAAGATACTGAGTTTGTGCACATGTTGAATTTGTGGTGCTCATCTCCTAGTAGAGAAGGTGAGTATATAGCTGGGTATAAGAATCTGAAAACTGAAACAGAAGACTTAGTTCAAGATATAAATTTGGGAGTTATCAACATATATATGATAAATGAAGTCACAGCATGAGATCATCTAGGGAGAAAGGTAGAAAGAGAAAAGATGGCCTTGAGAAACTTTACACCTAGAGGTCCAGGAAAAGAAGAAAAGAAGAATAAAGGAATGGTCAGAGATACAAGGAAACCAGAAGAAAGTGGCATCCCCAAAGTCAAAAGCAGCAAGTTTCTAAGCAGGCTCAATTGTTAACGGTTCTAAGTAAAATAAGGACAGAGGGGGGGAAATCCATTGGATTTACCAATATGGAAGTTTGAGAGCTGTTTCCTTAGAATAATGGGGGTGTAAAACAGATTAGTGTCAGCTGAAGAATAACTGAGAGGTGAAAAGGTAAAGACTGAGTAAACTGTTTGATGCTATTTAGCTCTAAACAGGTAGACAGGGTAATAGCTACAGGACAATGTAGAGTCCACTGTTTTAAAGATGAGAGAGACTACAGCATGTTTTAAGTGTTGATATAAAGATCCAGTATATGCGGGAATGTAAAACAGTACGGGAAGATACTTGAGAAGACTAGAGGGAAGGGCTCAGGTCTCTGGTAAATGAGGTAACTCCTCAATTCCAACAGAAAGTGAAAATGAGTGTGGATTCTGTTAATTTTATAGATTGGGTGGTGGAAATTTGAGGTAGGTACAATCTCACTGCTCCTACTTGAGTCATCATCAACTGAGAATTAAGAGAGAAAAGAAAGGCAAAGGTTTGAAAAGAGGGCAGAAAATCTAAATTTGTTATTGAGTAGAGTAGGAAAGTGAAGTGACTAATAAAATACGGAAAAAATATGAAAGTCTGGTAGTGCTGAGTGCCTAAGTTGAAGATTTAAGTAGGTACTAGGTTAGCCAAGATGTATGATTTTCTCCTGCTGTGCTCAGCCATTTATTTGCACACAGACAGGCAGAAATAAAAGTTGCATCCTTGGTTGGAATTTACCAGGATGAGATGAAGGATGCGTAATGACGCAAGAGTGATTAGAATGATGAATCATGGAAACTAAAATGAATAGGAAAAGAAGATAGGAGAAAGAACTAGAGAAAGTAGGTGCATTGAAGAATTAAGATTCTGGAGACTTTAAAAAAAAAAACCCTCAAATACAGCAAGAAAGTTGAAAGGAAGAGTTTATGGTTAAAGACCAGAGTGTATCAATTAAAGATTTCAGAAGTATCTAATGATAAGAAATATCTGGGGTGTGAAGTCCTTGAATAGTGCCTGATATAGGGAGGAGGAATGGTCCCTGGACATGAAAAATCTTTGCCAGGCTTTTCTAACAGTGAATAGGTTCTGTTCTTAGATGATCATTTAGTTGCAGGCAATCTGACTTCCCTGAAATTCCAATACTGGCCTGGGCCAGCAGGGGATGAACCAGAGAAAAAACACGCTCATACCACCGCATGCTAGCTTAGGCACAAAATTCCACAAAATAACAGAGCCAGGAGAAACTATTCTGCCCACTTCTAGTCAGATAGTAGTCCCAAAGATCAAATTGATTCTTAAAATATATGCTTTGTCTCCCTAACTAAACTAATCACTTCCTGGGCCTAGAAGAGATACAGTAGTTACTGAATGATGCACTAAATACTTCAGGGAACTACCTTTGGATCCCTCAAATAAATGCTGTTTATTCCAAACACTACATCTGCCAGGGCATAAATAGTTTTCTGGCTCCCTAGCAGGTACTGTTTGATTTTTAACTGGTGCTTTAAAATACCTTTAGAGATACTAATGTCATATAATCATCTAATTTATATATAACTATCTTTTAGAAATCGAACCAAAAATTCAATAAGGTCGATTATTTAACAATTACTTGGGAAAAATACTATTAAATAACAACAGCTTGTAGTGGTAGTGAATTCGTATGATTACTATAATTAAAAACCCTTCAGCCATGTACCTTATTTTAATTAAATCATAGCATTTATAAGGAGACATTAAGCCTGCTAATAATTTACTACCTTTTTACATAAACTACCAAAACCCCTCAGTATACAGCCAGATTTATATAGCATAACATTTGTGTTCAGATATAATGAAATGAAAGCAAAACTTATTTTATGTATTAATATTTTTAAAAAGCTAGATCAGTTATTTATATTTAGACTATACATTTAATGGCATAAAATATGATACTAAAACTAAATTCTCTCTATATTAGAGCTATATGAGGCAAAAGATGTACAACTATCATTAAGGAATATGCCACCTTCTTATTAGCTTCCTGTAACAATTCTTATTATGATGAATTTCTTAAAAGAATTAAAATCTCTCTTGCTACGAGTCTACAGACTATTTTATCATCACAACCATCCAAAATCTGAACTGGTACATCCAAATACTTCAAGTCAATAGCTACCTCAGGATTTCCTACCTTTAGGAAGGCAGGAAATTATCTCAACCATTACACTTCTTTCCTATTTGCTAATTCAGTAGCAGGTATCTTACTTTACTCTCAATTCCTTTCTAGGTGCCGAAACCCCTAATCTCTGTAACTGTTTATCAAAGACTGTCAAGTAAAGGAAGATTAAATGTACAATTCTTTACATGGCACATTTAGAAATATCCTAATTAAGACAGCTCAGTACTTGGTATATAGTTTATGAACATTTCATACACTGGAACTCTGATAAAACACTAATATAACAAGTAGTAGGGCCCTGGCCAGTGTGAGTCAGTTGGTTGAGTGTTATCCCAGCACCAAAAGGTCACTGGTTCAATTCCAGGTCAGGACACATGCCCAGGTTGCCTGCTCAATCCCCAGTAGGGAGAGTACAGGAGGCAGCTGATAATTATTTCTTTCTCCCTACCTCCTTCTCCCTTCCTCTCTCTCTAAAATCAATAAAAACATTTTTTTTTTAAAAAATTAAAAGTAGGTCACTTAAAAATATTGTATCAATTCATGTTGGGTATTACCACTACTATAACGGACAAAGTTGTATTTTATAACACTTGAACAGTCTTTTCCTAGCTAAAGAAAATGACAAAGTAAAAATAACAGTCTGAGGTTTTAAATCCTAAAGTTTACAGAACATCCAATTTAACACACAAAGTAAATCATACCACTACTAATATGTAAGAACAATATGGATTATTATTTGGTCAAGAAATTGCCTCTAGATTCATCTTAAACATCTCACATTTAAAAAATAACACAAACTATTACAATTTGAAAATTTCTATGAACAACATAATGGCCTTTTCTAGGAATACATACAGGATTACCAAGTGCTAGCTCTATGCAGAAATCAGGCAAGGACTCCACACCCATTATAACCAGGCATTAAGGTAAACAGATCTGACTGGCTTTGAATTCTCTGTTCCTAGTGTCAGGGCTCTTTTCTGCATGTACCCTTTAAAGCAAATAGTTTATTACTTTGTATCATGTTTGGCAATGTCAAAGCTTCATATTAATGCCATGATTATATTAAGTATATTCAAGCTCTTTGACAGTGAAAATTAGAAAAAAAGGGAGAGACTGGATTTTATTATAATTTCAAAATAATTTACTTATCTTCCCATAAATATTATGCTTGGCAAACAATGAAAAATATGCTTTTATCCCGCAAGATTAAAAGAAACTCAGCTCACTACTAGTCCTGAAATGCAAATTAAACTAACCATGAGACTTCATTTTTCCACTAACCATTAAGGTACAAAAAATTCAAGTGAAGTAACAGTTATCACTAGTAGAGGTTTTGTTACATAAAAACCAATCACCAACCCCTCCTATATACTTACATATACATGTTTTTGGAACTATGTAAGCATTAAAAAATATATATATATATGGAAAGATGCCCACAAAAGCTACTTGGAACGGGGATATGCAATAGAAGGGAAAAGAGGCACGCAAGTAAAAACTGGAAAAAAGAGCAATTAAAAACTTATGATTCCATTTACTATGTTTTACATTATATATTACTATAAAACATGCATATGCATATATAAAACATAAGTTATATGTGTGTCTTATCTGCATAAAAAATTAAGAGGGAAAGAATGTAATTAAATCTATAATAACTAAGTTGCTTTGTTAAGTGAAAAGGGGAAAAAAATTAAGTAATGTATATTCTATTACAGTAAAGACAAATCATTTAAGTTTTTGTCAGCGAGGATAAAAGTGAAAGTATATATAAGAAGCTATCATTAATTCCTTTTATGGGATGAAACTGGAAAAGGAGCTTTGCTTTCATACCTTGTTTAATTGTGCTATTTTAAACAACATAAGACTTTTGCAATTGAAAATAGAAAAAATGTATGCTTGTATTTTTTGCTGTTTAAAAATACGTACCTTGACCTTGCCATACTTTAGAAGGTATTACTAATATTTTGTCACAGGATGCAGAAGGCTGGATCCACCGCCAAACTAGAAAATCCGCACCACCTATTCTTCGTGTTTCTGTGCGAACTCTAGACTCGTTAGCAGCAAGGAAGTCAACAGCTCTATCCCAGACTTTCTTCATTGTTTTCCTATTATGTGAACAAAATGACTATTATCTTGGCTTGCCATCTTTTTCAAATATTAGTAATTGAAGGTAGTGGTTATTGTTAACTCTGGCTGTTCTTCTCACTAGTTACAGAGTTTTTCAGAAAAGATTTAGAAGCCTGAACCTCACCTCAGATTTACTGAATTTCGATCTCTAGAGATGGAGCATAAGCATTAGTATTTTCCCCCCCTGTACTTCCACTGGATCCTGATGTGTTACTGGGGTTAAGAACATTGTTTTAGCATATGGCATCATCTTCTATTTAAGAAGTTATTAGTTCTTTTATTTTAAAAGATTTAACAAAATATTTAAAAACATTACTAATAAAACGTCATTGGCTACTGCCTCTTTCTTTATCAAGATGAAAGTAATGAAAGGAAGGTAGAGATTGACAACAAAGAATCAAATGTATAAGAATGAGAATGACTTAGAAATCTAATTGTCTATTTTGCCACTCAAATGAGGGAGGTTAACAGACAAGAATTTAGAAAGAAGTTTTTCAAGTATAAAAATAAAGCCTATACAGTAAAACAATCCTGGTTGAGAAGGGTCAGAACTCTCAATATAATTTTCGTAACTACAGAAAACGCCAACATTCTTATTTACTTCAATTCATAACACTATGAACACACCTGTCATGAGGCTGTATTAAGGAATCTCGTACATGTGGAATGGGCATGAAAGGTTGTAAATCTTTGTTTTCCTGGCAAGCTTCATTATGACTTCGTAAAACATCTGAAAATAAAACAAATGAATCAATCACTGGTTATCATGTTATAGTTTATCACAAAATGACTATTCTAGAAATAGTTTAGATTTTTAAAAATACTATACCTATAATCTTTACCACCATATCATACATCTGTCTTGTTTCCTCTTCCTCTTTTGTCCAGCGATATTTCATGTAACGCAGAACGACACAGACCATCACTACACCTGCAATATTCACATATTTTGCGCTTTAAAATTTTGTGGTCAACAGAATTCAAAGAAAATAAAACTTATGATAGTTTCTACAGTGATTATTTTAACTGCCATAATGGGATAATGGAATGAGCCTTCAAGTTAGTGGGTTGAATTAGCTACATAATTAAAACTACATAGAAAAACTTAATAGTAAACAAAATCCAGAGTTTATCTTAATCTCACTTCTTCTATTACGTTGACAACTGAAAAATTTTTTCAATTTTTAGGTTTGTTTTTTTTCAATGTTTTTAAAATTTGTAAATAATGGCAATAACATTTAAATTCTAACTTAATTTTTTGAAAACAAAGTAACATAACTGTTTCACACACTTTTTCCTTTGCAGCTTTAAACTACGAGAAAAGTGAGACTAAACATACTACACCCTACATTTTAGGTAAATTACTTTTAAAGGACTTGGACAGAAAAACAAATCTCTTAAATTCCTATTATCAATCAAAATAGTCACATAAAATCTAGTAATTTACATGAAATTTTAATTCAGGCATGTAATAGTTTTAAAATTAAAAATAATTTTAATAAACTTAAATTATAAGTTTAAAACTAAGCTTACTTTTTATAATTTCCTATTATATTTTAAAGTAGATTTCCATCTATGCACTATACCTTTTTCTTTAACATTTATAAGACAAAGTTTTATTCCCACTTCTTCTCATAAGTACTGTTTTCTAAATTGATGCTGACATTATTTCTAAAAACCTAAATATTATTATATCTTAGCAAAAACTTCTGGATGTGATTTATAATGGCAACCATCACTGAAATAAATTCTCAGCCCTAGCATTTGGTGAAACAAGTACAAAAAATTCTAGACTACAATGTATCTTCTTTATCATCCTAACAACTTACCTAAACATAACAACAATAACCTGTGGGTGACAGTAACAAAAGCACGTCGGAAACGACACCAAAAAGACATCTGTGGTCTTGTGGATTGTAAAAACTGCACATCAGTTACATTTGTCAGTTGCTCATCAGGGCCATAACCGACACACCTATTAAAAATAATTAAGGGAGAATTTAGAGGCAAAATCACTTCTTACACTACAAAATGATCAAAGTGGAAAGTAAATCCTTTACCTTATTCCAACATCTTTTCCATTTTCGAAAATCCACTGTAATGAGATGTTAAATATATCTTCATATTCAGGACCTAAATCCTAGTAAGAAAAATAGAAAACATAACTAACTATTCTTAATAATTCACATTCATTTGACTCTGTGTTTAAGCAGTCCTATAATTAACATACTTTGCATAACACTTTAAACTATATAGAGGAACAAAAATGTATTATTTATTCATCACAGAAAAGTAAAAGGAAAAGTTACCATTTCCCCACCACTCTAAGATAACCATGGTTGATATTTTGCTCTGTTCTCTTTTTGTCTGTTTTTACACTTACAGATTTGGGTTTTGTTTTTTTAATAACTTGTTTTTTAAGTATCATCAAAAGAGTGAATTAGCTACTTTTTAAAAAATGGAACACTATTTTTTAGATAAACAAATGACAAATATTCAGACTTGGTTATTTCAGAGACATTTGCTCAAACAAGTAAATAAAGTAAGCCTGTCACCTCAAGAAAAACAACTGACCATAATTACTACTGATAAAATACAAGCTTTCAAGTGATAAATAGAATTTTTAAAAACTTGTATCCATAACTATGAGCCTGAAAGCTTCACAACAGCTGAAATCCCTTGCAATGAGATTGGTGTGAGCTATTAAAAAATATGACTTTTGGGTATGACATAATAAAATGTGTCAACATTAGGAAGATCTATCAGTAAACCAATATTTTCCAAATGACAGGCTCATGGGTTATAAAATCTTGCACAGGTAAAAAATCCATTCTAGTGCAAAAGAGATGAAAAATGGATTCTAAAGACTGAGTATGAAAAAGTTCAGATATGGTTTCAAATTCCACATTACTACTTATCTTTAAGAAACTACTACTTGTAGAGTTTTAATGTGGAATCAAAGAATATCTACAATTATCTGAGTATTAAAATACTTTTCCCTGTTTTGAATAATATCTGTGTAAGGCTAGATTTTCTTGATGTACTTCAACCAAAACACAACACAACATAACAGCTGAATGTAGCAGCAGATATGAGAAAACCAGTCACCTTTTATTAAGCTACACATTAAGAGATTTGAAAAAAATGTAAAATAATGCCACTTCTCACTAAATTTTTTATTTTTGAAAAATAGTTATTTCATAAAAATATATTATGTTAACATGTACGTTCATCATTATTTTAAACATATATGTAAATTTATATTTTTTGTTTTAATTTCTAATACAGTAATTATGTATCTAAATATAAATATATATATCCCACAAACAAAAACCATTTAGAGTCCTCAGTAATTTTAGGAATACAAAAGGATCCTGAAACCAAAGAATTTAAAACCTGCTGTACATAGGCGGATTGTGTATTTTGTTGTTGTTAATCCTCATCTGAGGATATTTTTTCCATTGCTTTTCAGAGAGAATCGAAGGGAGGGAGAGAGGGGAAGAGAGAGAGAAACATTGATGTGAGAGACACATCAACTGGTTGTCTCCTGCATTAGCCCCAAGTGGGGTGGGGTGTGAACCTGCAACCCTGGTACGTGTCCTTTGACTGGGAATAGAACACATGACCCTTCGGTGAGTGGGCCGACGCTCTAACCACCGAGCACACCAGCCAGGGAGGATTGTGTATTTTTAAATCAAATTATTAAAAATAAAAGTGGCACCATATTACATATACTGTTTTTCACAAAATGAGGTATAGTATTAATGTTAGTACAGATGAAACAACACCAAGTTTTTTTTAACAAAATGGTATTCCATTTTATGGCTATTTTAATCAATCAACCCCTTATTAATGAACATTTAGAGTGTTTCCAGTTGGTATTTTAATATATCAAATAGTACTATAATAAACATCCTTGAAATTTCTTTCATTCAATGCTTATTGAGGATTCCCATGTGTTAGGTACTGTTCTAGGACCTAGACATGTAGCACTAAACAAAACAATCAAAACTCCCTATGCTCATGGAGCTTATGTTCTATTCAAAAGTATGTTTTCATGTACTTTTAAAAGTAAAAAGAATGAATTTCTAAAGTAAATATAAGAAGTCAGTTTTTAAATCCCTTTTAAAAAATGAAATTTGTAAATAATAGCTATTACATTTTATCAACAGATTCTTCAATAGCATTGGAAATCACAAGGTTTTCATTTGATCAGTAAATTTACTTCCTAATATGAAATTGGTATTTTAATATCTAAAATTTGAAAATGCTTTATAAGTAGAACTAATCTTGCCAGACATTATTACTTATGTGTAATAATCATTACTAATACCAGGATTTTTCAGATGGGGAAAATAACTATAGGCTGTCATCTGAAGGGAAAAAAAAGTGTGATCATTTCAGTATTTATAAATATTTTAAAAATTGTAGCCAATGTAAATATTTAGTAAATGAGAAATGGTTTCTATATGAAATTTCAATGGGATATTATGAATTTCAGAAATAATCTTGAGAGCTAAATAGCTATATGCTTAAAATAGTAAAACTACAACATTCAATTTATATATATTTAAAACTATAAAAGTTATGTACTTGTGAGTAAAAACTAGAAAATGAAGTGATTTTAATACTGCCTTAAAATGTTATGCAATACAATTATACAAAAATAACTTCAGACAATTACTGTTTTGTTATACTACTAGAAATCACTTTGTGTATAACTAAAAATCAAACAGAACTCATAATCATTGCTGTAAAACTAGAGAAGAAAAAATGTGAAGCAGCAGCACCAAGAGAACATACTTCGAATTACACTGCATGGGTCAGAGGAAGCTAAGGCACACTCTAGGGTAGTTCCCCTTATCCTCAGTTTCGCTTTCCTCAGTTTCAGTCAACTACGATTCAAAAATATTACATGGAAAATTCCAGAAATAAACAATAAGTTTTAAATTGCCTGCCATTCTGAGTGGTGTGATGAAATCTCACACCATCCCCACTCCATCCCACCCAGGATGTGAATCATCCTTTTGTCCAGTGCATCCACAATATGTACGTTCCCTGTCACTTAGCAGCTTTTTCAGTTATCAGATTGACTGTCGTGGTATTGCAGTACTTGTGTTCACGTAAAACTACTTTATTTAATAAAGGCCCCAAAGTACAAGGGTAGTGATGCTGACAATTCAGATATGCCAAAGAGAAGTTGTAAAGTGCTTCCTTTAAGTGAAAAGGTGAAAGTTCTCGATTTAATTTAAAAAAAAAATTTGTATGCTGAGGCTGCTAAGCTCTACATTAAAAACTAATCTTCTATCTGTGAAAAGTATGAAAAAGGAAAAAGAAACTCTTGCTAATTATGTTATCACACCTCAAACTGCAAGAGTTATAGCCACAGTACATAAGTGCTTAGTAAGATGGAAAAGGCTTTAAATTTGTGGGTAGAAGACATGAACAGAAAACCTGTTCTGACTGATGGCAATGGGATGCGCCAGAAAGCACTGAGCCCATATGAAGACGTCAGCAAGGGATCCCCTGAAAAGAGTGACCACGTTTACATAACTTATATTATAGTATATTTTATAATTATTCTATTTTATTACTAGTTATTGTTAACCTCTTATTGTCCCTAATTTAAAAATTAAACTATCATAGATATGCATGTACAGGAAAAAACGTATTTATAGGGTTTAGTACTACCTGAGATTTTGGGCATTCACTGGGGGTTGTGGAATGTATCCCTGCAGATAAGTGATCAGTACTGCATACAGGACTTTCAAAATCCACAAAACAAGATTAATATGTGTTATCCACGGAGCTGGAGACATTGTACCAATTCTTCTTTGTAATATATAGGTTTTTTAAAAAGGATTTTTGTACTCATTTAGTTCCTTTCAAAAACTTAATTCTTCAAATACAGACACTATAGCAGACTTCAAAGACATGTTTTAAAAATCAATGAGCCCGGCCGGGCGTGGCTCAGCGGTTGAGCATTGACCTAGGAACCAGGAGATCCCGGTTCGATCACAGGTGAGGGAACATGCCCAGGTTTCAGGCTCAATCCCCAGTAGGGGGGATGCAGGAGGCAGCCAATCAATGACTCTCATCATTGATGTTTCTATCTCTCCCTCTCCCCTCCTCGATCTGAAATCAATAAAAATATTTTTTTAAAAAATCAATGAAATATATACACTGTATTTACCTTTATGTGCATATACGTGCTTCAGTTTGTATTACTACAATATGCAGATTATGACATTTTTGTTTTATTACATAGAATTTTGAATGCTAAACTATAAACATAAGTTTCAAATAATGCTAAAAGAAATAAATTTCCAACTTTACTAGTTGTATATTTTAAATATAAACATTTTAGGAGGCAGAAGACTGCCTTCATTAATTACCCTAAAAAATGTACATAATGGTTCAAATTAACAAGGACATGCACTCTAATAAGCTAAGCGCTTAATGTGGCAGAACCAAGAGCTTAATACTTCTAATTATAAAATAAGGCGGCTAAGAAAAGGGTATCTTGTTATTTTCTCATTTTCTGTTTTCCTTCTCATGTTAATACCATTTGATATCCACTCACTATCTGGGATACAACAGAACCATACAATGTTCCTTTATGAGTACACATTTTCAAAAACCAATTGATAATTTATTTAAAACTTCATAAAAAATAGGCCAATACTTCCACAAATATCTACACAATATAGAGTTCTACAGTATTATAATTGGAAGGCTGTAGAAGCTGAATTTCTTTCTGGCTTATGCTAATTAAACAGTTGATGCTATCATTATAGTATACATAACATCTACCTGGTTTTAAGAGTCTAAAGTATTTTATTATTGTTTTTGTAGCCACATGGAAAGGTATTAAGTTAGGCAAGGGTAGGCCAACTACATCTGTGAAGTGCCAGAGTAAAGATTTTAATATTTCTTGTCTCTATCATTTTTAAAGCAACGTTTAAAAATGTTGTAAAACCACAGCTAGCAGGCCATACAAAAACAGGCACATGGACAGTACTTTGCCAACCCCTAAGTTAAGGCATTCTTGCCCTCATAAAACACCCATTTTCTAATCACTGATGACAAAAATCAGGATAAAACTAAGTTTTTAATTTTAAAAGTAGGTTTATTATTCTA